TACAAAATGGACCGACCATAGGTACGGCCCAGTCCGTATTTGTTTTTCATAAATAATTAATAATTCCAATGTGGCCCCTGCAGGCCCACATTACTCTGAAATGCTCAGGGCTGGGCCAACCAGAATGTCATGTTTGGCATTACCTTTGGATACTCATCCTTTTTCAATTTAAATTAGTGCGTATTTTTGTCCTGTCCTTGATAATAAAGCCAATCACGCACAGAATGTGTATATTGCCCTGGCTGGCAACCAGATGACATGAATTGGCTCTGTGGGCTGTGGCAGGCTGGCCTTATCTTCCAAAGTCTAGTTCCAATCAAACTATATTCTCCTGAGAATATGGGCCCTTCACCATAAATTACTCTGCACAAACATACTCATTATATTTGGTACTACTACGTATGAAATGTTTGTCAATTTTCCATGTTGATGAATTATCAATCATCATCACTGGTAGTTAATTGTTTTTTTCTTTCCCCTGTGAGTGATAGATAAAATTTCACCGAAAATTCTCGTTACCGCGGACACATCAAGTAGCTTCATTTGGTGAAACTCGAAGAACCCTTGTCGTATAAACTACGGGATTTTTCTATTAATGTCATGTTGTTGTAATGGGACTTGATTTGAATGGTTCAATACTCATAGGTGATGACAAGTTTAGTGGTTGATTAATTGATATTTCAACTAACTCTTGCAGGTACAACATTTGGACTTCGTCGTTTGTCATGTAAACATGTTCTTTTCTTTTTCAATGCAATTGGACATAATTTAACAAATTAAAATGAGATAGTTAATGACAAAATTACCCGAATCAACGTTCTTGAAGTTTTAATATCATTAATCAGATATTAGTTTTTTGTTTAAAAAAAAAAATCAGGTAATCACATGTCGTCGTATCACAATCAGACATCATACTAAATCACAATCATACAATTTATAGATTACAATAATTTATCAGAACATGTCACAACTCACAATACCACCTAATCACAATCCCAATGGATCACCGTAAATTTTCAAACTCCGTATAGTCCCAACTTATTATTATTTATTTGACCTTGTTTGTTATATATATATATACTTTTTATGACTAATGATGAACATTAGGTAGGAATTCAAAATGTGGTCCACAAAGACTGACTTCTCTGATGAAAATTGGGACTTAAATCGAATAACAACCTGTTTTCGTGTTTATTTTTTTGTAAAATAGAAAATGGGGTAATTACAAAATAAATTGGAGATTTGAGTACGACTAAGTACAACAACCCACCAATACCATGTGCATCTTCCCCCCTTCATCAATCTTGAGGAAACAATGATTTGACAATCAATGACTCGTTTTATTAAAAGGCACTGTTTAGTATTTAATAAGTTGATTTTATTCCAGTGGGCACTGTTACTGCGATCTATGTCATTTTTCTACAAGTGATGATAAATAAAGTTATTCTCTATAGTTCTGCTTTTTGTAAATGAGTTTTACGAGAAAATTATGCTTTTTGTAAATGAGTTTTACGAGAAAATTATCAATTTCCTGTAGAAGTTCTTCAGTCTGATAAATAAAGTTATTATCTATTGTTTCGCTTTTTGTAAATGAGTTTTACGAGAAAATTATCTTTTATCATTTTACCGTAAAAGTTCTTCAGTCTGGTAAATTACTTTCAAATTTGTGTTACTCATAATCCCAAACCTTCAATTTGGTTGCATCGAAAGGACAAATGAACGGACCAACCGTGAGTTGACTAGAAAAATAAAAAATTAACCTTTTTTTTTTACCAATTTTAAATGGATAAAATTTTAAATTTATATTCTATCAAATATTAATAATTAGAATAATTAAATTAAAAACAAAAAATGAAAATTTGCACCCATTCTACTAGCCCCAAATCTTCGTCTTCTTCAACACACCACCCTTAATCCCCAAATCAAATCAAAATCCTCATCGGGGCACCATCCACAACTGATTTAGGAAATTAAGCGGTGGTTTCTATTCCAATTATGATGAAGGCCAAAATTGGCATTTCGTTGAGGCCTTGAATCTCGAGACTATTGGTATTGATTATGTTGAAGAGTCGAAGGTGTTTATCTCCACTGATGATGAGAATCATATTAACAAGCATATTTTTAGAAGCTCTTTTGTTCGTGGCTGTCGAAAATAATGGAGGGCATTTGCCATGATTCGTACCAAGTGGAAAGCAGCTACCAGAAATATTAATGAGGTGGTGCGTCTCACGTCGGTTATGGAAGATATTCGGTTCTTTCACAATATGGCTGATGATGGTCCGTTCATTTGTTCTTGTGTTCGAATAAATTAAAGATTTATAACTATAGTTGAGACAAATGAAAGATTTGGGTGTAATAGGTCGAAAATGAAAAAAAATAAAAATTGAAAGCACAACTGTAATATTTTATTGGTAACTATTTATCCTGAAATATTGGTAGTGACTACTTTATTTATTAATTTTTTATGCTCCATTGAATGAGAAAAGTAAAAGTCAAGATGGGAAATAATTTCAAATAAAATAAATAAAAGGAGTAGATATTAACTGGAACCAACTCTCTCTCCAGTAATGTCTTTTCTCTTCTTTATAATTTTTATGGGTTGAAAAACACACTAAAGTCTATTCTCCTATAACTACCAAAAGAATTGACAACAAAAAGGACCAAAAAGACATCTCTCCCCAAATCAAAAGATACTGTCTCTGTCCCCCATTTTCAACATTCCTGTCCTTTGCCCTTTTCCATCTAAACATTTTTCTTAATCCATATTAATAAGCCTTTAATGCCACTAAATTTTATTCTTATTTGCCTTTTTCTCTCCATTTTCTACATCTTTTTTTTTTTCCTTTCCTTCCATTAAGCATATATTTTCTCAAACGGCAACAAAAATGGGATAAATATTGATGTAGTGTATCAGTATATCAGTCCGATGGAATGAAGTATCGGATAGAGAATTATATAATGAAGTAGTGTATCAGTATATCGGCCAGATGGGATGAAGTATCGAATAGAGAATTATATAATGAATTGAATATGCAAGAAGTTTACATTTATGTACTTAAGGTTGAGGAATAAAGCAAAGTCATGATTCCATATAATTTAAAGTGGGTAAGAAAAGCACATGCGATGATGTTTGTACATGTCTTTTGTGGTACATTAATTGCAAACAAAATTGAATTATTTTGGGAGGCTCAAACTAAATTCCTCTATACAACTACTCAAATTGTCTTACTATTGGATTCACATATATGGCTGTCACAAATTTAGCAAATTTATATCCATTTCCTTGTTATTGATAAATTAGTTGATAATGGGTACATAAAAAATACAATTTAAGAAAACGGGGTGTTGGTGAAATACAAAAATAATAATCAACCTATAAAGTTTTAAATTTAGAAATAGTTAATTGATCTATTTATTCTAAATATGGAGAAAATATTTCACTGGGACAATCCTAAATGAAGAAATACTTCAAAGGCATCATCTTATGTTCATACGTGATAATAACGTTCACTTAAATCACAACACCAATAGGTCAAAAAGAGGAACATAGAGCGAAAACAAACTCACTTGACATTCAGAGTATCATGGCTTGAAATATAAAATGTAGTGATTTGAGTGTAATCCTAAATGGAGAAACGCTTCAAAGGCACCATCTTATGTTCACATGTGACAATAGCGTTAACTCAAATCACAACACCAGTAGATTAAGCCCATGTTTGGTGGAGATTAAAATCGATTTTTTAGTAAATTTTGATAGAAGATGAAACGTATAATCGAAAAATTGTGAGACCCGGAAAATATGTTGTTAATATTAATTATTAATTTTGACTTAACTTAAAATCTGAATTTTAATTCGTACCAAACGGGTTGTAAAGAGAGAAACAAATTCACTTGATATCTAGAATGGCGTGACTTGAAATCCAACATGTAGAGATTTGAGTGGAATCCTAAATGGAGAGATACTTCAAAGGCACGGTCTTATATTCAAACATGATAATACCATTCCCGCAAATCACAATACCAATAGGATAAAGAGATATAGAGGTGAAAACAAACTCCCTTGACATGACATCCAAAGTTTCTTAACTTGAAATCTAAAATGTAATGATCTAAGTGGAATCCTAAATGGAGAAATACTTCGAAGGCACTATCTTATGTTCACACGTGATAATACCGTTCACTCGAATCACAACACCAATAAATTAAAGAGAAACGAATAGAGAAAACAAACTCACTTGATATCTAAAGTATCGTGACTTGAAATCTAAAATGTAGTGATTTGAGTGGAATACTTAATGGAGAAACACTTCAAAGGCACCGTCTTATGTTCACACGCGACAATAACGTTCACTCAAATCACAACACTAGTACGTTAAAGAGAGAAATAGAGAGTGAAAACAAACTCACTTGACATCAAGAGTGTTTGTGACTTGAAATCTATAATATAGTTGTATGAGTGGAAGATTCTGGCCCTTCTTTTATCTTTTATTTTTTTTTTTAATTAGGTAAATTAGACATTTAAAAATAACAACTCCAGTCATATCTATTTAACCTCACAATTCAAAAAAACACGAAGTCTCACAAATGCACCTACCTCTTCTAACACGGTCAAACCTCAAAAAACAATCCAACTAATGATGCCAGTGGCCGACAAAATGTTCCACTCCTCACATGCAAACAAATTCAATTGCTCATTTGCTCATTTTCTTCTCTGTTGAAAAACGTAGCAGTCTGAAATCTACAAAATTCTACATACTTCAAATAAAACGATAACCATAAATAGAAATGAAATTACTCTGCAATTCTATGTTCATATTCTTGGCTTCATCCGGGATGATAAAACGCCAACCATCTTTCACAGAACATTAATAAACATGGAGCAGAAAGATGGTAGGCAATTTAACACGTAATAACAGACAAAATCTTATTGATAATCATCATCGTCATATATATATATATATGGATATGGTGACATGAAATTAGGAAAATGAAGAAGGGCCTTAGACTTGGTGGGAATAGCTAAAAGTATCTGCTTCATTTGGAGTGTGCAGATTCTTGATTTTCTTGGATGAAGGCTCTGGTGAGGAAGAAACTGATGTAGCTGCTGATGAAGACACTGCCCATGAATCATTGGAGCTATCAAAGCTAAATGAAACATCCACAACCCCTTTGGGACTGGCTGGGAATGATCCAAATTTTCTTTTGTTGAGTGAATGGAACTGAATCCTTGTTTCCACCTCCTGTATTAGACTACAGCATTCCTCCACTTTGTCCTGTTTCATTGCACATTCTAATCAGACTAGAATTCTTGCACCCAAAAAAAGAAAAAAAAAAGATTTAACAGTTACAAACCTTGTTGATTCCAAGAATGCCTAACAGTTGATCTTGATACTCTAGTCCAATGCAAGGCTCTAAGCTACTGATAACGTACAGCATTGTGGCACTGGCTATTGCAGAAGGCAGATAACACATGAATCTATAATCTGCAATTGATTTAACACAAGAATAAGAGAAAAGTAAAGCCCAAAAGGGAGAACTAATATTATCAAAGGGGTTACCAGAAATGATTGACAGAAGCAAACACTCGCATCTCTTCAGAAATTCACAGCACAAATTGCTCTTCAATCCCAGCCTCCTTGCAATGTAATCAAGAAATGAAATTGGGGTAACTGGATTCATCTTCCACTGGAGTGTGGACAGAACTAAAATTTCCATTCTTTGAATAGTTTTTGCCTCAAACACATATTTAGACTCTTCCACCTATTTACAAGAACAATCCCTTATAAATCATTTAGCCAATGTACACAAGTATTTATATATAAAATGAAGCATATAAGAAGAGAACCATTCAAAGTTTTTAATTTTTACATACTTGGAAGTCTAAAAGGAGAGGTACTTGAGTCTCCTCAACTTTTGCAGCCAAAGAAAGACAGGTCACAGCTGCTAGTTGAGTCATCCATGGCTTCTCGCCATGTGACTGAAAGCCACAGAGGAACCTATCCAAATAGTTAACTGCAAGAACCGCAGTAAGAGCTGAAAATGAGTAATGTTCAGTGACCTTAAGTATCCATTCCACTGCCTCACCTCTAGCCTTAGCCAAAGATTGGTTTTCTTGAATCCCATTATACAGTTCATTTCCCTGCTCTTTAGACAATAAAGAACTCAACTCTTCATCTTCCCAAAACAAGTCATGTTCCAATAACACCACAGAACGTTTACAGTGTATAAAATCAGCAAGAAATCTGCCCTCTTCTTCTATGAAACATATGTCTCTGTTTTCAACTTCTCCATTATCCCAATGTTCCTCTTCACAGTACAAAGCATCTAAAGCTAATGGAAAATTTGGTTGATATGAAGCCATCTTCTCCCAAGAAGATGAATTTCAAAGCATGCATTCATTACAGTCAAGCAGAAGTGTATAGCATGATAAAGAAACAGAGGGGGGCTAGAGATGGAGATGTGCACAGAGCCATCTCTGTATGTAGCCTAAAGATTGTGTTTTTATGGGGGATTGTGGCTAAGTGGGCTTTGAGGTATGAGCTATTGCCAACTTTAACAACGCATTGTGTTTTATGATTGTATCTGTGTGGTGTAATTAGGGCCTGAATCATTGGTACTCGACACGTGAGTGCTTGTACGTGTGTTAATTCATCAGAAAGACAGAGAGAGAGAGTGGGGGGAGGGGGGGGCCCACAGGCACAGATTACATGCAATTAACTAGCTGAAATAAATTGGATCAACCAGCTCTGGACCCTCCCATCAGAGATGGCTTATTCCAGCGTTTTATAGTGTAATCTACTGAGAATGGTTTTTCTTATTTTTCTTTTCTATTTATTTATGTCAAAACTTGTGGAGATCTGAGCTGCACAATGTTGACATTTAATATTTGAAATAATTTTAAAATATCATTTATCAAAATCACACTAGAATTTATTAGATTTCCTAATCAATCTTAAAATTAAGCTGAGTTTATTATAGGGAGAATTGCAGTCACGATATCAAACATTCCACTTTATTGTAAATTTGATCCAAATCTTTCATTTGTATCACTCAAGATATCAAACTTTTCTGAAATTCGCACTTTAAGTACAAATGAATGAAAATCATTTATTTGACTGTTAGTTGACCATAACAGTCAATTTTGACCAATTTTTAAGAGGGCAAAATAGCAACTTATCATTTTAATATAACATACAATTTAATTATTACAACAACAACAATAATAGTAATAAAATTGAAAAACCAAACCCAAAACCCTAAGGCAAACCAAAGCTCTTCAAAAAAAAAAAAAAAAACACCCATTTCACAGTGGAGATCTCTTGTAGTGGCCAAAGGGCTGAGTGGAAAATTTGTGACTGGAAAAGCTCCATTTATTTCTAATTTTGGATTTGAAATCAGAGATTTTGAGTCTTAATTCCAGAGTCAACATGATATTTTGGCGATTCAACTAGAGAATGTGGGGAAGATGGTCCTAAAACTGAAGAATTTATTGCTAATTTCAGGAAAATAATTTGTGGATTTTGACATGTTTTTATCAGAACCAAATGGGTTGTGAAAATTTGATGAATTTTGGGAATCAAGAATTGTTGGGACCTAGTCTATAGGGCGTCCCTTATTCTACTCATTAATATTTTGTGTCACAGACAAATGATTTTTAGAACCACGCTGCAAGTTGTTGAGTTGATTATGATGTGAAAATACATGATTGTTAGATGCACCAGCCCCAAGCACCACAGATACTGAGGTGGAGGAAGCTATTGGCATCGGTCGGCAGTAGTCATGTTGAATGGCCAAATTGGTCTTCCACGGGGGTGAACAGTTGGGATTGGGTGGGAGTGAGAGTGGGGTTGGCTTTTTGTTTTTATTTTTCTGATTTAATTATTATTTTTATAATTGCATTTTATATTAAAGTTGTAAAATTACTATTTTGCTTTTTTTTAAAAAAAAAAAGGTCAAAGTTTACTATTATGGTCAACTAACAGTCAAATAGATGATTTATACTTAAAATACAAATTTCAGAAAGGTTTTGACACAATGAGTGTCACAAATAAAAGATTTGAATCAAGTCTGCAACAGAATGAAAGGTTCGGTATCGTAACTGCAATCTTCCATTAATTATATTTGATGTAATTTCGTATCGATAGCGACTTGGCAGGTTGACAAGACAATTTAGAAGGAAGAAAAAAGGAAATACGAAAAGAAAAAGATATAAAGAGAGAAGAAGATAGGTTACGGTGGATAGGCGCTATAAAGACTAAAGTAACATAAATAATAATTAAATTATCATAAATATTGACACCTAAATTCAATTATTCTGTGGGAATAAAAGAATGAAAGAATTGCAGTATTTACTTTTTACTGTTTTTCAACTGCTCTTTATATAAATACTATCTTTATTTACCAAAAGCGTGTAAGGGTATTCTCAACCAAAAAAAGCAGCCAAAAGTTCATCGCACGCCTTCACTAACTTGCTCTATTTTTCTTTTCAAGAGTAGACTCACCTCTTCATTCCACACTGCCCAGATTCCAATGAAGATTTTAAAATAGACACAAATGTATTTCCCATATTATATAGCTGTATTGTCATTCTATTCTATTATCGTTCAATGGTTGTAAAGATGTATTTGGAGTGTATATGATTTAAAAAAAGGTTTGAGATTCATATTTTACATTTCATTTTTTTAATTGTATGTTTTTAATAAAAGCATTTTACATGCAAATTGAAATTTTTTCTCTAATTTTAACACACATTATTTGAAAAAAATATTTTTAGAAAATTCATTCTTAAACTGAGACTCAAAGAGGAGCTTAGGGTGTGTTTGATCCACATTATTTTGGAAGAATGTAGTTTAGAATAGTAGATTGATGGAGAATGTGTGGTTGAAAAAGAAGGAAAATTATTGATGTGATGAAAAAATATTATTTTATTAAAAAATGTGTGGTTAAAAAAGAGTAGAAAATGAGAATGAAAATTTTAATGTGAGTCAAACATGTGCTTAATTGAAACATATATTATATGACAGCATACCTCCATGCCACGTTATATAACCATTAAGCCCCTATTTGTCGCACATTATTTCAAAATTCATTTTCAACCACACATTTTTCAATAAAATAATATTTTTCATCACATCAATAATTAATTCTTACTTTTTAACTACATATTTCTCAACATGTCGCTCATAGTTATTAAACCCAACCCGGTGATTGACCTAGAAAAATCATCGAGTCAACGAGTCAGTGGTTCAACCAGTGGGTCGACGTTTCAACTGGTAGATCATTGCTTGAAGTTAATTAAATTGTATTTTTGAAATAAAAGGAAACCATTTTCCAAAATATAATATATATGTTTTGCTCACATTAAGGACAAATAACTATTGACTGCCATAGCGGTTGTGGAGTTGAAAATTTCCCTTCATTATCCAAGGTTTGAATCATAACTCCAACACATTTAGCATAAAATTTTACTTCAATTAGGTAACCGTCCGATTCCACTTAAAACTGTCTGATTTGGATGGTTAATTAGTGGTTCAACCGGTTCATGTGCTTACTTGATAATTTAATGCACCTCGACCGGACCATGGTCCCGGTAGGCGGTTTTCGATCCGAACCAGCCGGTCCGGATTTAATAACTATGATATCACTATTTAAAATACATTCTTTTCTCAATAATATTCATCAAACACACCATAAAATAAAAGCACATCTTTTAAATTGTTAACCTAATGACATTGACAGAGAGGCTTCATTCTACCTTGTCAACACAAGCCATTTACAATTTTTTGTCAATTAGGGGATAAAATGTGGTGAAATAGAAATTAAATTGAAGTTCAGCGACCTAAAAAATGAAACCTTCGTTCGGTTTTGATTATGTTAGAATTACTTCTTTTCTACATTCATTTTTTAGTTTAACTATACATTCTCTTAAAAAAAAAAAGAATTATTTTTCAAGTTTCTCATAACTTCCTCACTTTTTTAATCTAACATTAAAAAAAATTAAAAATTATTTCTCGAAAAAGTGGCAAATGTTGTGAGGATTCAGTTCCCAATAAGAAAAATTGAGATAGTGATATTGGAATTCAAAAGATTTTGCTGCTCCATAGTCTGAACCATTCTTTGTACGAATAAAGTTCACCGCAGACTTCAAACAGGTAAGAAGACAGAAAAATGGTATGCATCCATAAACTGATATACGTACATGGCTTCAGGAATAGTGCCAGTAGAATATAAGGAAAGTTCGAGTACAAGGAAAGTTACCATTAATGAATATTGTAATTAATAATTATCATATTTATTATTTAGTTGTGATTTTTTTATTTTATATAATGAGAAAATTTCTCACATTGAAACGTCTTATTAAATACATTTGACAACGAAATTATTCTCCTGTTATAGTGGACAGGATAAAACTGTTCGAATTAAACTAAATGTACAGAGGGTCGGTTCACGGGTGTCTTACCGACCCTCATATGAGGTGGGTCCCGACCTGATTCAAATTTGGTTCAATTTTTTTCCCGCCCCCCTCTGTGTGTGATCCAGAAGCCCCACTCTGTAAGTGTAACATTATTCAAACTGTCAACTTGCTGATGTGATAGAAGAACCTTACTTACAGTTCTCTCTAAGTGGACAAAATAAGACTTCTTATTGTAGACAAAAAAATATTTATGTATTTGACAAATAATCGTAAATAAGATTCTTTTCAAGCGAACAAGATAATTTTCCATCGTGGACAGGAGAACATTTCGGTAGGTGACAAATAATCTAAAAATGCAGGCAAGAAGGCAGCTGCAATCAAACGACAAAAGGTGAAAATTACCGTATTTACCAAGAAACATGGCCACAGAGGCGTATAAATGTAAAATGTGTGCAAGTTGTATTGCGAGGGAGAGAGAATGAGCAATGATAAGTTGCTTTCTTTCTTTTTCTTTGTTTTGCTTTGCTTTAAATCTTTCCCTCTCCTTCTTCTTCCTCATCCGTCTTTAAAGGCTCGACATCCGAGGTCTGAATAGAGAGACAAAAAAAGGACTACTGCTATTACTTATGGATTTTTCGACAGAGTTGTTTCATGGGTCACACTTCAAAATCCACCACTCACTTATCTTCACACTACAGGATTATCAAAAAAATCCTTGATGCTGTTAAAGATTTAAGAACACTGACATTCACACAATTAAACAGAGGAATTAAGAGCTTGTTTCAGAATCATGTTTTCTTAATAATATATTTTAGAACAGTAGATTAATGGAGGATGTGTGATTAAAAATTAAGAAAAATATATTTTGAAAATAATGGAGATCAAACAAGTGCTAAAATCTTGTAGCATTTGTTTGGCACTATTTAATTGCACACTGACCCTTAAAT